CCTCGAAGGTAATAGTTTTGAACAGGTTCTTGCTCTAAAGCAGGGTCAGGAACCACAGCTAACTCTCCTCTGGCTATGACATCCAATTCTGCTTCCGTTGCATCTAGAAGCAGCTGTCTGGTGACTGCTGTAGCCGCTGGAATTCGTTCGTAGATGCTCAGAATGATTTCATTGGACAGCTCAATGAACTCTGGGAGAAGATTTTTATACTCTTCGATCTTCCTTGCAAGAGCCTCCATTACGGAAGCAGATTTCTTGCTATATCTGATGTGGCGAAAGTCTTGTCGTAGGGTGATATGGCTCTGGGAATCGGTTGATGGTCTCGAGTGATGTTGAAGGAGGTGTCTGCAATGGCTTCCTCAACTGGACCTGTTATCTCTGTTTGAGTTGATATGCTTCTCTTTTCCACCTCTGGTTTCCTATCCTTACTGCAGTGAATCTGTTGAGCAGTAGCAGTACCAGCTTTCCAACAGCAATGAGCTATGGATGCACCTATAACTACTCCTGCAACAGTGAACAGTGCGAGTGAAAGTGGAACTACTGGTTTTTGGTTATTAAAGCTTTCGAGAACCTCAATAGGAATTAAGCAATAATATTTTTCATCAAACATGCGAAGATCGATCATACGAGCTACGCGATGGTTTGGTGTATAGAAAGGTGAAAAATGAAAAATTGTTGTTTTACGTTCCTTGTAAGATGGAGTATAACGTGATCCGTACGAGCCATGACGATCTTGGACATGTAGGTATAGACAAAGTGCTCGAGAATTTAACGCGCGTTTACTGGTTTCCGAAGATGCGAGAGAAAGTCAAGGCGTACATCGAGAATTGTTTGAAATGCATCGAGTTCTCTCCGTCAACCGGCAAACAGGAGGGATACCTCCATAACGTGTCGAAAGGCGCTCTACCGTTTGACACCGTTCATTTAGATCATTACGGTCCATTAGAAAGATCCCGACGCGGCAATAAATACGTGTTTGCGGTCGTTGATGCATTCACGAAACATATACGACTATTTCCGTGTAAGACAACTAAATCGGACGAAGTTATTTCGCATTTGCGCGATTATTTCCGAGTTTATAGTCGCCCGAGGCGAGTGATATCGGACCGGGGAACGTCGTTCACATCCAAGGGTTTTCGAGACTTTTTAGAGGACATGTCGGTCGCTCACGTTTTGGTCGCTGTCGGCACGCCGCGTGCCAACGGACAAGTTGAGCGTTTTAACCGCGTGCTCACTCCTATGCTTGCTAAATTATCAAGGACTCCCGGAAAATGGGACGAAGTTTTAAAAGACGTTGAATTTGCCCTTAATAACACTGTTTGCCGTTCGACTGGAGAAACTCCCGCGATGTTATTATTCGGCGTCAAACAAACCGGCGACATCCATGATAATGTAAGGAAAGTGTTAGAGGCACACGCCATCCCGGAGAGGAATTTAGGAGAATTGCGTGAGCGAGCAGCTGACCGAATTACGCGCTGTCAACAAGACAACGAGTGTCGATATAATTTGCGTCATCGGGCAGCCACTCAGTATCAGATAGGAGATCGAGTGATGATCCGTAATGTTGACACCACGCCTGGTGTCAATAAGAAACTCATCCCGAAGTTTAAAGGGCCGTACGAGGTTAAAAAGGTGTTGGCGCAGGATCGTTACGTCGTCGGCGATGTCGATGGTTTCCAGCTAACGCAGATGCCGTTCACTAGCGTTGTCGGTCCAGACCAAATGAAATTTTGGATGCGATAGGGAAAATCTCGCGACTAAATGACCGAGGACGGTCATATTGTCAGGATGGCCGACTGTAGGCATTCGGGCATTCGATGTTTGAATTGCCGTTTACCGTTTGTGAGAACAGTTGAGTCCCCTAACGACGGCCGAAAACTATTGTGTAGAAGTAAATTGACCGTTAAACAAGATTGACGTGTTTTATTCGCGGTCATTGCTCGCCATTAATTTTATTTCTATTTCGCATTCTTCTACAACTTTTAATTTACATTAATTCGTCTAGGTTGTTACGTATGCCGAACGTTTCGTCCCTCAAATTTTTCTTGCCACTTGCGTGCATTGGGAAATCGCCCTGCTACGTATCTAACCTTTGGAATGGGGGTCACTTCCGTCGAGATACAGTAGCCCGGTAATTAACACAATTCGGAGAATACCGAATGCGGTAATTTCTAACGTACTTTTCAATCCGCCCCCACAGATTTTTGGGTATATAAACCCCGCGACTTCATTACTCTGGGGATCATAATCGTATCGTCACGTTTAGAGTCAACGTCACGTCTCTCGTTACGCGTCTACGATTTTGATAGTCAGTTATATCTAGTGAGATCGGGCTACAGTACCCTTTCGTATCAATATTAAACCATATAGAATCCGTGAACCGGCATAAATTCTATTACGGCCTTTAGTTTCAACCGACTTACCCCCGCATCGCCAGTGCGTCAACACCGAGCAACAACATTTTAGGTATTTATAATTATTCTTTGGACGCGACAAACATACACAGAACACTTGTATCTTTCTTGTTTGTTTTAAGAATATATCTAGTTTCATTATTAAATCAGAGTTACTTATCTTCTTTAACCCATCATTATATAAAGCGATTATTGTTAGTTAAACGTTCCCACAATAATATAACCTTACCGCTCGGGTTATATTATATTTAATAATTGAAGTTACGAGGTCAATTAACATATCCTTAATCCAAATACAAATTCTTACAACCTAGTGGCTCCTCGATTACGCATCGAGTTCGTCCACGCAATCTAATACCATCCTAGCGGCTCCCTGCTTACGCACCAGGTTCGTCCGCATCCTACAGCTCCCTGATTACGCATCAGGTTCGTCTGTGATTTATCCAACCTCCCAGCAGCTCCTCGATTACGCATCGAGTTCGTCTGCGTTTGTTCCAACCTCCTAGCAGCTCCCCGATTTCGCATTGGGTTCGTCTGCGTCGTTATTAACCATCCTAGTGACTCCCCGATTACGCATCGGGTTCGTTCACGACATTACACCCTCCTTCGGCTCCCTGGTTTCGCACCAGGTTCGTCCGTAAGTGACTCAATCCTAGAGGCTCCCTGATTTCGCATCAGGTTCGTCCTCGTTATCAACTATCCTAGCGGCTCCCCGATCTTGCATCGGGTTCGTCCGTGCACCTCACTAACAAATTGATACCATATTCCATACTCTCTCTTGCACTCGCAGGCCACGCGCGCTGCACGGCCCTGGCTCGTAACAATGTCACTTAATCGACATGTATTTATATTATAAGAACATTAATGCAACAAAGTTGTGTATGAAAAATAATCGTGTAGCTCTTACGTCTTACGTAATATGATTGAACTGTAAGATTAAACATTCTTTTAATTATTATTAATTTTTTTTATGTGTTAATAAAATAAATGAATTAACAAATAATCAAAATATTATTTTGTTAATTGGATAAAATTTATTGTAGTATTATAAAATAAATTTAAATTATTAGAAAATGGTGAACTTGGATCTTGAAAAGAAAATATATTCGCAATTGTAGTACAGTTAACAAATATATTGTATGTGTTTCGATGCTTACCTACGATGGAAGTACTTGAGGAAATATATATCTGTATGTCGTTAACATACTATTAATAATATGCGTCATTAAAAAAAAGTAGTTTGATTTTTAACTAAACAATTTTTTTAACAGAAGTTTATCTCTTCTAATAATTGTATGATTTGATACGAGATATGTATATATATATTTTATTTTATTTTATATATTTGAGCCTTTATAAGTCTAAAAAGTAATGAATGTAACAACGTAGGTTCGCATGGCTCAGCGAGGAAGCACATCACACAGTAAACGGTAGGTACCGAGTTCAAATCCCGCCCCAGCAGTATAAAAATTTCTGAATGTAACAAGGTTTTTTCGAAGACAAAGTACAATATTTCCTGAAGCAGTGTACAGAAAGTAGTTGATATACAGGGTGTTCGGCCACCTCTAGCAAAAATTTTAATGAGCGATAGTAGAGGCCAAAATAAGACAAAAATCAAGAATACCAATTTGTTGATGGAAGCTTCGTTAAAAAGTTATTAACGTTTAAAGTGCCGCCCTTACTGAATTTTTTTCTCGAAAATGCGCAAGATTTCGGGGATATGTCTATTCACCAAAAATGACTGTAATTGAACCCTACAACCGAAAATAATTTTTTCACAACGATTTGCAATTTTTTTTCTCCGTTGAAAAATTTAGGCACCTAATTGGATTTTCAGTAAGGAATTTTTTTCTCGAAAGTGCGTACGATTTCGGAGGTATGTGTAATGATAAAAAATGATTGTAATTGATCCCCGCAACCGAAAATAATTTTTTTAGAACGATTTGAAAAATTTTTTTTCGCCGAAAAATTTCAGCACCTACTCGATTTTTTTTCTCGAAAGTAGATAGGATTTCGGAGGTATGTGTACTCACCAAAAATGATTGTAGTTGACCCCCGCAACCGAAAATAATTTTTCCAGAACGATTTGAAAGTTTTGAATTTAATTGTTAATAACTTTTTAACGAAGCTTCCATCAACAAATTAGTATTTTTGATTTTCGTCTTATTTTGGCCTCTACTATCGCCCATTAAAATTTTTGCTAGAGGTGGCCGAACACCCTGTATAGAGATTAATTTTTTGTATAACTTTTTCTTAAATTTAAAGATTTTATTGAATGTTATTTAAATATCTATTTTATATTCTCCGAATATTTAGCTTATATGTTCTAAACATTCAATTTATATTTCTTGAACATGTATACAATATTACATCTAATATTTATCTAATATGAAAAAGTGTGGCTCAAAAAATATTTTTCCAATATTCGAAAAAAATATATATCCAATATTTTTGTGCTACTAGGGGCCTTATATACTGATAAACAAAAATCAAGAAAAGCTCGGAGAAACGATACGAGAAAAGATTATGGAAACTCAGACGAAAAGCGTGTTTGTTTTATTAAATGTTTTATTATTAAGAGGGAGTTTCGGAGTACACAAGACTATCTAGTGAAGTCGATTTGGAACATCGGTGGTCTGTCATGCTAAAAACAAAAATACTGGATCGCACCACATATCGCGACCGCACTAGATCGCTCTTCGTTATTGCACATTACACCGTTCGAAATCCGTTTTACATGCGAGAGCTTTTACGCGACTCTCTCGATTTGTTTATATATATCGGACTTGCTTCTCGATTACTTACGATCTCACGGTTGTACCTTCTATATAAAGGACTATGCGCTAATATTCTGGTAATAATATATATTCATGTATACGTGTACTGTGTATACGTCGGAGCTAAACGCTACGTCATATAAATTTCAAGGTACAGGAAGTATCTACAAGTCAGTGTCTACCACATAATTTACTGCCTCGTTTCGTTTATCCTTTGGTAAGTGGCGGTTAATCTACGTTTCTCTAAGACCTACAGAGATTACCATGAATTTACTTCGCTATGATCTTACGGGGTTAAATCAACGGTATACACGGAAACCATGACGTAAGATCATTGGCTTTAACGACACAATGCAATAAATAGAATGTCAAATAAATATATATAGAGTATACTTTTCATAATCATCCGTTAGGAGGGGGACAATATAATGTCTTAAACGTTAACATGGATATGCATTATCGATTACAGTTAATAATACTGGCAGCTTAAAGTACAACGTGTATCTGTACCTGTATGTGTGTATGTGTACGTGTGTGTGTGTGTGTGTGTATTACGTTGAAACCTAACTGAAGGAAAACGGTAGAGAGTGCCGTGTGCAACGTTGAAAATCGATCGAAAACGATCCAATGAACGAAACCACGTAATGACTAGTATCAAGAGGATAACGAGTTCCATCGCCTAACCGTTGGACGAAATTATTCCAGGCTTCTACCGTGATTTCGCGGCACTCGCTACGCGCACAGTGGGCTCCAAAAGGTTCGCTTAATCGATGTCATAAGTAAAACGTATGGTTTCGGTTACGAACCAATAAAATTTCCCTCACAACCGTTCGCAAATCGAAATCCTTATCATCGAAATAATTATTGTAACACCACGGACGTCTCTCGTGTCGCACCTGATCGCGCGTCGTTGCTGGCTACCCAATATTAAATAATAGCGTCTTAACGATTACCGTTACTGTTCTTACTATATACTAATATTAGTGTTGTTATTATTAATGTTATTGTTAATATTATTATTATCGTTACCATAATCGTACCGTACGAGAATATTGCACACAGCGACCAACAGACACGGACAAAGGGAACTAAGTAACAGATCACAGGTGAAACTAGGCTATCTCTGTAACAAATTGTTATCACATGAAAAAATATGTATCGGTTGCCATCTCTCGCAAAAATCTCCCAAAAATAAGAGACTGTCGGACGGATGACCCGAGCGACGAGCCATCGATGATTCGGATTGGCTGACCTCGATCGTCCCTTCGCTCCTTTTCGATCCTCACTCTCGTCGTTAAGACATCTTTTTTTCGCGTCCTTCACTCTGTTTCTCTCTCTCATCTTTTTCTCGCATTACCAACCCGAAAAAAACAGTCGATCCGCTTGCTGGTCCGAGCCCAATCGCTCATCAACGACGACAAACAACTTAAACTCTGATTAAATGATTACGATTAGCTGTAAAGTTTGGCATTGCGACCGCGGTCCTTTCGACTCACCATCCTCGCACGTTTACTCCTCGCACGAACGAACAAACACGACTTACATAGCTCTTCTTTGGCTTCCAGCTCCGTCGTAGTGGCCAACGCCGGCCATCTACGTGTGTATCTAAACCTAAATACGCATTACATCGCAACCTTCTCGGATTAGCAGCTTGTACGACTCTGATCCCATCGATAGTTTTCTTATACGGAACGCCGTGGCCTCGACGGCCACCAAGGAACAACCATTTTGTAAAGCTCTCGCCTCGAAAGACGATTCTGAAACGACTCGGCCCTCGAACACCCATAAATTCGTCCGTCTCTCGCGATAAAGCGTTCTAGAATCTATCCGTTTTAGAGCTCCTCTCTCGACTCTGACCTCTCTCTCTGCTCGTAGCTCTTTCCTTGCGATTCTACCGTACGCGAATACTCCATCGCCCCGAGATGCAAGAGGAACGAAATCTCGAATCCAAAATCCACTACGCGAAAATAAAAGGTTCACGCGACGGTCATTTCAGGGGAGGGCAAGGGTTTAAGTTCATCGATGAATGAATCTCGATCGCTTCCCCGAATACGGCGGCTGATAAAAAGCTCTACGAACGCACGGACTTCGCGGGATCGCGTGAACGAGCAAGATTATTCTCGAGATCGTTCGCTAAGCCTACAGAAACTTTTCACTGATTTTGTACTGTGTTGCGCCCGCGAACAGTTCCGATTCCTGACTTGTTCTTCCACGGTTCGCGGCTCGCTGGTCTCCCCTCGGAAGCTCGGAAAGTTCGTCGCGAAGACGCGAGACGAAAATGGAAATTGAATCGAAGTACGATGCGCGTCGAATATGCACGGCAACCCAAAGTTCTTCGCGACGTATTGTTTTCTAAGATGTTATCTTTTTTCTCTTTATCTCTTTCTTTCTCGTCGCGAACGTTCGACGTCATTTTTCGAGCCTCTGCGTTTTCGAAATAAACGGGATATCAAAAAAGTAGGAGCGCCTTAAACGGCGCTACGATAGATGCGCTACAAAAGCTGAGCTATGACCGGATGCAAAAGACACATGTGCTCGGCACCGCGTATCGGCAGACGGTTCACGCTGAAGTGACGAACCATTTCCGGTATGCTGTCGAACGGCTTGCTGAACTGGCCCAGAATGTACGCGTTCAGGTCCTCGTTCTTCTGGATGCGCATGTGCATGAAACCTCGGGCGCTTCTGAAAATTCAAAAGGTTCTTCTGAGTCTTTGACCATTGTTCAAATAAAAGTACGTAGAAATACCCCAATAATAACTTTTAAAAATGCTATCGCTTCTATTGAATTAGGAGCACCCAAATGCATTTGTTTTCATTGCTTTACAGCCAGAAGTCCGTTATAACTGTATTATTAGCGTTCCAGTGCAATGACACATCAATTATTTGGTAAAAGTACGTTCAAATACGCGAATAATAACGTTTAGATGCGTGTAAACAAGCAAGAATGCAGTTTTACTGTCAAACATAATGGAACTCGGCTCTACATCAAATGATGTCACTTTTATTGAATTAGGAGCATCCGAATGCATTTGTTTTCTTCGCGTAACAGTTAGAAGAACGAATAAATCGCCGTTATAACTGAATTAGTGGCGCACTAGAGCAACAACACAACCATTCGTATCCAAAGAGTCGAAAATTACATCCATAATTGTGAATACCAATTTAGTTAAAGTTCTCGAAAATGAATGCGAAGCTCATAAAAAATAGAGCATTTGTAGCATTTTGTCAACATTTTACAGCGGTATATTGGAGCGCATATACCAAAGTATAATTAATCGACAGGAAACAGCTACGACGTGCTCAACTGCTTTTAAAGAACAGCGAACGCGAAATCCCGATTTCGTATTCATCGTCGAGATACATTTGCCCGGAAGTTTCGCGTAAAGAAGAAATGGCGTAGCGCCAGGCGAAAAGTATCAAGGCTGTACGCATACGTATAACTTACTTCAGCGATAGAGAATAATCTTGTTTGGTCGATTCGCTGTTCCTCACCAAATAACTTCCTTCTCTCAGAAGTCGTAGGACAGCTTCCGCCTCGATTCTCGTGATGGATCCGTGGTACCACCTGCAATGCAAACGACGAAACATTAGCTCCTATTCGATTGTAAAAACATTTTGTGAATGTCTCAACCCATTTCTATACAATAACCGGTCTGACTCTGGTCAACAAGTTTTATATATAAAAATCAACACATTTTTACATTCACGAGGTATTCGTAAAACAAATCTATTATTGCTCGTGGCCGTGCCTCGTACAAATAAATTTAAATAAAATTTAATAGTACACGTTTGAAAAATTATTTGGAATCGCATCGTACGTCAAGGGGTTAAACGCGATAGTAAGAGAAATAGACGAACAAATAATTTTAATAATACGAACGATTGAGGCTGAAGGGTGTAATGAAACAAAATTCGATGTATCTTCGTTAAAAATAGTGTATATATCAGAAATCATTGCCTCCCCGAGTGGCTCGAAAGTTAAAATTAACATTTAAATGAGACATTTTAATTCGAAACGACTCTTCGGTTACGTAACTACGATTAATAAATGACTCTGAAGTCGTGGGTATATTTTTACATCTTTTTTGTACGCGTGACTTTTGATGAGAATCGCCGGTGCAGACGACCGTCAGACGCGACAGAATGTTTCGTAAGCTGATAAATTCGAATGACGTACCCTTGTCTCTCGAGAGGAAGGTCCACGTCAACGAGATCGGCGGATCCACGGGCGGTGCTAATCTCCAGCGGCAATCCAAGGCTCAGACCACCGGGTTTTTTCGGGGCGAACTGACCGGGGTTCCCGACGCTGTTCGTCCCGTTGCCGGCGTCCAGATTCAGTGTCATCTTCGGACGCGCCAGACCGCCGCCTGAAATGAGTCATGCGACAGTTAGACGCCGCGAAATTCCCCTGGGGGTAAACATCGATTATCCGTATACACGTAGACGCCAGGAGGAACGTCCCGGCGCGGACTTTATGGCCCGCCATCGTAATTGGAACAAATCGGAACTCGGTTCCGCTTAAGATTCACGGCGATAGGAAGCGAATTCCAGTCGATATGCCGTTACAGATTATGCGAAAAGGATCCAACAAAAGATTCGTCGAAAAAAGAACGACGTTTGGAAGCTTTTCAGAAAGGAAAAGCACGCCATATAAAAAAACTGTAACTTTTCGTGATCGATATACCGCGTGAATCTTTTTATATCGTTTTCATTAACACGTTGACTGCCCAGATCGGACGAAACTTTGCTTTTAGACAATTTTATTTTTATTGCTTTGTTAAAATTTGTGAGCCCCGTCTAGATTTATTTTCTTGAACATCCAATCTTGAGAATCAAACTTTTTTAGTTCCTCGGTGAACAAATTATGTCACCTCTATGTGGGCGTGATCATAATCGAGTTATTAATGCTTCACCAAAAATATATCAGTAAAACGAAGACGAAAATGAAAACAATTGCTTTAAAACAGCCTTCGTCAGTGTTGTGATGCGGTTGGAAGTGCTTCATAAGCCAGCGTTGGGGGTTCCCCGACGTACCACTACGCCATTTTACGAGCTCATGGCGGCTGAAAGACGCGAAAATGGAAGAGAGATGAAAGACGAAGAGAGATTTTGAATTTACCAGTGGACTCCTCAATCAGATTACCTGGCAGACTCAGCGCGTACAGGGTGTCTCTAAAATCATCGACGTACGTAAGTACAACATTTTTTATGTTTAACGTAGCCTCTTTGATTAAGAAAATTTAACTACTCGAACTTCGAATCTGTTCCAAAGCCACGTCCTGGTAATATTATCTTTTCTTTTCCATTCTATACTTTACGAGTAAATTGATAAAAATTCAATCGATGGGGGAATTTTGTTTACCAAGATACACTCCCCTGCGCAAAGAAGATCGACTATCTGATGCCGGGGTAATTGTGTCGCCAATAATCGTGCTCTTAAAGCAAGGACTCGATAATACCTGTCAAAGAATATTTTCTTCAGCGCGAAACAATCGACCGTGACTTTGGACGTAGGCTTTGTTGAGGTATAATAATGGAACGTCTCGTACTCGTCAATGGATAGGCTGAGTGCTTTCACTTAGCAGAAACAATACAATCGAAATTCCTTCCGCGAATTTTTTTTTTCCCCCTGTTTTCCATCCTCCGCGCTCCGGCAGGAAGCTCTATCGGCTCCTGGGAAGTTTTCACCCTGCAGCCACTTAAGATTCGCGCGGAAATTACGAGCATTGTCTCCTCGTACACAATGTGGCTCTAGGAACAAGAGACAACAAGCTATGCCTATCCTGCCCATTACAAACGAATGAAAGAGGAATCTCGACTCCGGTCGCAAAGTATTACGTTTATTAAAGACGACATTGCGCTCGGAGAGAGACGAAATTCGATGAGAACGACAGCGAAATATTACGGACGAGATTATACGTCTGGAGTGGATACAAATTCGCGAAGCAAAATCGTAATAAAACAATTTACTCGACGGATACGTTAAACATGAAAAACATGACAAGTCGGGAACGTATGGTCAAGTTATTAATATGACACTTTGTAATGTGTTGTGACAAAAAATTTGTATAATTATATTTAGATCACTGTAGAATACAGTTATTAAATGTTTTCGATCAGGCTTTTGTTAAACAGTATTTTATGTAAAAGAGTAAATCAAAAATCTAAAATACAATTTTTTCGTGCGTCTGACCATTGCTCGATATTTCTACTTGCAATCGGTGTCCAAGTGCTCTATTGTTAAGTATCTCGTGAATTTTTAGAATTGATCTCTTCAAAAGTAAAGTCTCGTATGGGAAACACTTATTTTGTGACCCACAATCACCCTCTTTCCAGATGTACAACGATTACTATGCTTTTTATTCGTTTCTTCTCCTATGTCTTCTCTATCGACGACGAATCTTATTTTCAGCGTCTCAAAATCTATCTGGTTAAGTTCTTCAAGATTACTCTCGTTAGATATAGTGTATTTTATCTGAGAAAATAAATAAAACACCTAGAATACAATTTTTCTGCGATATGCCTGGTGCGTCTGACCATTTCTCGATATTTCTACTTGCGATCGGTGTCCAAGTGCTCTATTGTTAAGTATCTCGTGAATTGTTAAAGTTCATTTCTTCATAAATAAAGTCTCGCATGGAAAAACTTATTTTATAACGTACAATCACCCTATTTCTGGATATATAACGTGTATGTATCGACGGCGAATCTTATTTTCAGGGACCAAAAAATCTTTGTCCCAGTTCCCAGTCGTTTACTCAGAATTTCAAAGTTTCGCTGGGTAAATTCTTCAAGGTCGCCATCGAGAGCTTCAATATTATTAAGCCCGTTTGGAACTTCGTAGATGATAATCGACGGAAGGGTCCGCAGTCGAAGGAAGTGCCTCTGCGGCCGCGAGGTAATTTCATTTGTTGGGCGCAATCTCTTAGCGTCCGACTTTTGCAAGGTCGCATGATCCAGGTACGATGAAATTGCTCTGACAGGTGTAACACTGCGTTAGCTTTCTTCGTGGCTAACGCGTTTGGAGCGCCTCGCGCTGCTCTCGAAAGGTTGTACTTTATCCATTATGTATGAACGTGTACTCCGGGGCTTAAGACCATTTAGTTTCTTCGAGCCTGATGCAATAAACGTTTCAGGTTAAAACGCTCATTTTTACATAATTTCTTTAACGGTACTCAACGTCGCTTTCAGTAACGAGTTCAGATCTCGCTTGGAAACGCGTTTGCTCGTAACAGGAAATTGGAACGCTGAAAACATCTTTCTTAAAAACAATCGGTAACTTAAAGTAACAATAATTGTATTCATGTTTCCAGGAAGCGTTTCAAAAGACCATGTAACCCATTTCATAATAAAATTATTCAATTCTCAAACTTTGCTTCGAACAGTTATCTCGGTAATTAAATTTGTAAACGTAGCAAACTTAAACAAAAGATGCAATACTCGCAAACCTGTTCGTTTAATGATAATCGATAATTAATAGTACATAAAAGTTTTATACTGTCGTTTTCATAGTAAAATTATTTAAACTTCGAACATCGAGCCACGGTAATTATATTTACGAACGCAGTGAACTTAAACGGAACAGAAGTTGCCGACCAATTCGCTTTAGGTGCAGACATTGGATAGCCTCGACGTTCGAGAATAACAGACCTCTGTTTGCCTGAATAATTCATTCCACTTTTCGTTCACAAACGATCGTCAGTATGCTCCTAGAAAGTAACGTGGACGATATAAATCGCTCGCGTACACGCAACGCCGAAAGAAACTCTCGAAAGGCCGTACGCTTCCTTCCGGTTCATCTGACGCGTACACGCGTTTCAAGCATAGTTAAACATTAACGGCCAACAGCCAGCCACCCACTACTCTCCGAGATTGGCCGGTATCTGTATTATTAAATTTAATCCGGCTATCCGCCCGGCTCGATTTATCTGCCCGAATTTCTTCCTCGCCCTCTTCCTGGCCAGCCAAGTTTCTTCCTTTCTTCCAATGTTAATGTTCTCACGCTATACATCCGGTGTAGCAATACTCAATTCAACCCTGTAATTCTATTCCGTATTTCCCAACTTATTTTTCTCACCGACTTATTTACAGTACCCACCAAGTCCCTTTCGGTCCTGACTGTTTATAGATTGCAAAGTACAATGAAAATCTGAGTCTTTGAATTTCATTTCAGAGTTGCACGAGTTTATTATAATTTATTTATCACAATGTGGCGTCGCCTTCCATGCTCGCCACCAGAGGGCTCGCGTTCTCACAAGCACTCGACCGTATTTCGTATTCCGTATTTCCCAACTTATTCTTCTCACCGACTTATTTACAGTACCCACCAAGTCCCTTTCAGTCCTGACTGTCTATAGATTGCAAAGTACAATGAAAATCTGTGTCTTTGAATTTCATTTCAGAGTTGCACGAGTTTATTAAAATTTATTTATCACAGTGTGGCGTCGCCTCCCATGCTCGCCACCAGAGCAGTCTCGGACGAAACGCGACCCCTCCATTCCTTTTCTGTCCTCTTACGAAATTCTCCCGATTTGGAGTCACGAGAAGTATTTCACGATGGACGAATAAACAAGTCAAACAGTCCTGAATAAATTTGATTGTATTTGTCGGCTATCGTTTGAATAAAATTTCCGCGATTCGCCTAACGACGGACTGACGCTCCGCGTTCTTTGTGCGCGAATTTCCTGTCGCAGGAAGCTCTACTCTCGCTTATTTTACCGTCTCCTCCGCAGACTGTTTTAATATCCGTCTCAGACGGAGATACGTCTCAATCAATTTCTTCGCGGGTCCTCTCCATCCAGCCCGTTCGTCCCTCGGGAAATGCGAGAAGAGGCGCGTATGCGATTTCCAGTGCGCGAACAAGTGTCTGGGACGCCGCGGTATTTGTATACGGGGCGTGTCGTTGGTTCGCGATAAGGCGGAACCGACTTCGAAAACTTGTTACCGCGGAGGGACGACGTTCGCGAATTTTCGAACGAACACGACTGGAATCGGGAACCTTTTCCACGAACGTTTTCACGAGTGTCGTTTTTAGGTAAGTCGAGACAAACTACGTTTGTTCGAAGTAAAATAGTAACCTAAAATGTACTCAATGTTATTTGTTACTATTGCAACTAAATGTTATTACAAGATCTCGACGTTTTACTTTAATCGTATTTCAAATAAAAATTTTTTAAATTTTGGATATTTGGAAATAGATATCAATGACCAAAATATTGATATTGCTAATAAACAGCGTTTGCTGATGTTACGATTAGCATATTTCGCGGTTCTGTCTCCCATGTGAGACGAAAGTACATACAATACTCATACAATTAAGGCGAAAGTATAATTAAACTCGAAGTTAGCATCTGTTGTTGTAAAACTT